AAGACTACTAACGCAAAAAACTCAAACTGTTTATGTGCGCCGATTCTACAAAATTGGGTCATATTGAATGAAATTGATCCCTCTGCTTATTATTTAAATTTTTGTTCATTTTTTCTTCATAAATAAAGAAAATAAACAAATGCTAATGAATTAATTAAGCTGTCAACTTTTTTTTGGTGATTCTTAACATTCGACCGTAACACACATAATGTTGTGACACGAGTATTGAGTATCTTCCATTCCGAAAACATAAATTTCGCCAAACCAAATAAACAACAAAGTGTACCAAACAAAATTTCATTTGAACTCACTAATAAGCGTTGAGTTTCTCAACGTATTCTTTATATTAAATCCATTCCGGACTCAGTTTTAAAGTACGGTCTCACTGATCATGATAGAGTAATGGAGAAGTATTGGGGTTGATGTCTATATGGACGGAATGTCGATTGTACAATGGAAGGCGTTTTTTATGGTAATTGATCTTTGAACTGTTTATCATACATTTGAGCAATGCTTTTGGTGTAGTTCCTATCAAACTGAAAAAAACACACAAAAATTGGAGTTATTAATAGATGCTAATTACTTCCATGCAAAATTGTCAGACAAGCATTCAATGCCAAAAAAATTTTCGAGCGGTGTTTAGAAATTTTGAACAAATTATGGGATATGAGAAAATACAAATTCGAACAACACTGAATAATAGAAGCATGGAATAGTAATGGTGAAGCATATGAATGATTGATTCATTAGATGTAATTCAACATTACTGATATTTTTAAGGCTGAATTTTGATGGCTTTTGAAAAAGATTTTAAAAAATTAGAGTTTTATCAAATTTCACAACTTCGATACAAGAAATCGAATTTTGCAACATAATATTTTAGCTGTAATTGTCCTACCACTTTTTTTCAGATTACTGTAGTAATTAGAAAATTAATTAATTTTCCCACAGACTGATTTACATTCTTCTAAATATCATTGTAATTTTTCTGCTACTCAAACTTATAACTCATAGTTTACATAATTTTCATCATGTAAGTAAACAAAAGTAAGTGACGAAAAAAATCATTAACCCAATTAATGACATGATATTATTTTATTTTTTCAACTTGTTTTTATAATCATTTTTTCGAGACCTCATTTTATTTTAACACAGATATGTAATACACAAATGCACATCTTTAATTGTCAAATGGTTTAATTATTGATGAATAAATCACACCTAACCAGTGTCATTGATTTGATAATATATGGAAAATTAATTAAAAAAGGAATTGAGCAAAAATTCCTGCAACAACAATATGCAAATCATTCAGTACAAATATTGAATTAAAGAACAAAGATTGTCCAATACGTACAAATTCAAAATTCATTCAACTGCTGACGTTTAATGTCAACTACCCACCATTTCCCATTGATGTAAATATTACATCATCTATATGAAGTCGCGAATTTCGAATACCGCGAAGCTTCAAATAAAATAAAATGACTAAATAAACTAATATATAAATCAATCACACAAATTGTAACAACGTCATGAATCATTTAAGCAATTTTACATCCCTCAAATTCATTGTCTCATGCGTTTTTCTTTGTTATCTTCATCTACGTTCACATCCTTTCCTTTTTTAATGTAACAAAGCACACTCATAAGCTAAATTTCTTTGTCTAAGAACCAATCTTAATTGCAATGCTTAATGTTGCAAACAGAGCCTTTTGTTGTAATCGGATTTTGACAGTTTCTCTTTATCCAAAGGAAAATCTAATGTAATGCTTGTTATAAACCACACCCCCCACATATGCTCAATTGTGTTAATTAAAATTGTATATATACTCAAGGCTATAACTTGATCATTTTCCTTGTCAAACACTCAACCAAGGACTGCACCGTATATTGTATCCTTTACTCTCCAATAAACATTTACTACTACCCTCTTATTACAATCTATCTTCTGCGAATAAATAACTTCCTCCTGAACCGAACGAAGAATACCTTCTCAGAATATTCGTTTGTGCCAGAGAACAAATCCTTCCAAATCAAACCCTACAAATCAAACTTTTCTTTCAATTTTTCGTACATGTGAGTCATCCTAAATTTTACCTTCGTGTCATACGAATTTGAGTACCAAGCGAATCTGAAAGTCGTGATGACAGAAACGGCAAAAGAAACTGCTAAATTTAAGGTCTTTTCGTCATTTAGACGTTGATGATAAGGGAATGCGAAAAACAGATTGATAAAAGAGCACAGACTGAATTGAATGAATTGGCCGATCTACTCATACCTTCTTTCGTCCTGCTAATAAGCCTATGATCCTCAAAAGGGTGAGAACAGCTACAGATGTATGTCTGCATTAATTGTTGAAACTGAAGTATTTCAAATCAATGCGCCGACAAGTGAAGTTTCATCAGTGGCATTTTGTATATATGTGTGTGTAACCATAGGTGTATTGCATTGAATGCACTAAATTAAAGTGTACCAAATTAGACGTATAAAAAATAGTGCAAATAACTAAAAATTGAATTAAACCCGAGAAATCAAAAAGGCGAAATTCCGTTAAAAG